GGGCAGTTCCACTCTGTCCTCTAGGGGCCCTGTGAGTCAGAATGGACTCCACAGCAGTGGGTGTGGTTTGGGCTTTGCTTCTGTGAAGATTGACAGCCTTGAAGACCCTGTCGGGCAGTTCCACTCTGTCCTCTAGGGGCGCTGTGAGTCAGAATCGACTCCACGGCAGTGGGTGTGGTTTGGGCTTTGCTTCTGTAAAAGATTGACAGCCTAGGAAACCCTGTGGGGCAGTTCCACTCTGTCCTCTAGGGGCGCTGTGAGTCAGAATTGACTCGATGGCATTGGGTTGGAGCCCTAGAAGCACAAAATCCAAGAATATCTCATTGTTGCTTACTAAGTTTGGCCTTGTTCCCCTTTTCCACCCACCCTCTTACTCCCACCTCCATGGGACAGTATGTGCTCAGATGTAAGTGGATAAGAGAGCTCCCTGTCTCTCTTCCTCTCTCATTAACCGCCCCCCCCCCAATTCCCTTTCTCTCTCTCTCATTCTGTCTCTCTCTCTGGCCAAGTGTTTGTAGTTGAATATCTGTAAGGTAAGTGGGCATCTGGGTGTCTCTATTCTGATATATTGGGTATATACCTTCCTTCCATTTAAGATTTACAATATCAAACTACAGCAATGATCACCCAAGTAAACTGTAATGTAGTTGTAGCATTTTGTTGGGTGGTCAGGTTAAAAAAAAATCAGATGAAGAAGACTTGGCAATAGTCAAAGTGAAAAAGAGTCAACCACAAGTTCAGTATTTAACCAACAGTGTGATAAACTTCCCAAAAGTAAAGGTTAACCTTGTATAAATGTATAGTGTATTAAAAACTTGTTGTCATCAAGCCAGTTCCAATTCATAGCAACCCAGTGGGACAGAGTGGAACTGCCTCATAGGGTTTCCAAGGCTGTCAGTCTTCATAGAAGCAAAGCCCAAACCACACCCACTGCCGTGGAGTCGATTCTGACCCACAGTGCCCCTAGAGGACAGAGTGGAACTGCCCCACAGGGTTTCCAAGGCTGTCAGTCTTCATAGAAGCAAAGCCCAAACCACACCCACTGCCGTGGAGTCGATTCTGACTCACAGCGCCCCTAGAGGACAGAGTGGAACTGCACCAGAGGGTTTCCAAGGCTGTCAATCTTCACAGAAGCAAAGCCCAAACCAAACCCACT